GTCCCCGGCTCCTCTGGCAGCCCCGGCGCTTTCCCCTCCAGCTTGGCGCATCTCTCGGCAGCCTGTACCTGCATCCCGGCGGCTCTCCGCCTCTCCTCGGCTCCTTGGGAAGCCCAGTGCTGTTTGCTCCCAACCTTCAACCGTGGCATGGGCCACAGCAACTGCAGGACCTTGCTCAGACCTTTACCGGGGTGTTGGATCCAGCAGAACTTGGCAAACTCCTCCTCCGGCTTCCCCACCGCCGGCTGCTGGGGGACGGCATCTTCCACCCAGGGCTTGGGACCACTTTCCCGGATAAGCACCCCCAAATCCGCCGCTTGCGAGGCCAGCAGTGGGGGAAGATCCCCTTTCCGTTTGTCCTTCCTGCTCCAGAAACTGGCCATCGCCCCGAAAACCGGGAAGGAAACCGGCTGTCACCCCGCCGGCCCCTCGCCTTCGTCTCCCACCGCCGTGGCACGGGGGGCTTGCGATGGGACGGGGCGATGTCCCCCGCCAAGGGATGTCCGCCTGTGGCAGGAGCAGCAGCGGAAGGGGGACAGGGGTCAGCAGCAGCAGCGAAAGGGTTACAGGGCTGCTCTGGGCCTGGGGAGGAAGAGGAAGCTGGGGGAGGCAGAGGAAGGCTGGTCAGGCCTCCCTCAGGGGGAGGATTGCAGCAAGGACACAGCCAAAATGGCCCCTGCTGCAGAGATGTCCCCGCTTCCATGTGGGGAGCAGAGCCTGCACCCTCCTCGCCCGTGGCTACTGCTGGCCCGGGCCAGCTCCCACCCGGCCTGGGGCTACCGAGGCGGGGATGGAGGCAGAGGGGAGAGACCCTGACACCAGCCCCGGATGGGCTGGGGAGAGCGTGCACCCCATGGCCTAGGGAGCCCTGCACCCCCCTGCACCCCTGTGCACCCTGTATCCACGGCCTGGGGGGCCTTGCACCCCTGTGCACCCCATGTCCCACCCACAGCCCCGGGGACCCTGCAACCCCATTGCACCCCGTGTCCCACCCATGGCCCCGGGGCCCCTGCACCCCCATGCACCCCCATGCACCCCCGTGCACCCCGTGTCCCACCCACGGCCCCGGGGACCTTGCACCCCCGTGCACACGCATGTCCTGCGCACAGTCCTGGGGACCTTGCACCCCCGTGCACCCTAATGCACACGCGTGTCCCACACACGGCCCCAGGAGAACACGCACCGACATGTCCCCTGTACAGTCCCAGGCACCCTGCACCCCCACGCACCCCGTGTCCCGCCCACGGCCCCGGGGCCCCTGCACCCCATGTCCCACCCACGGCCCCGGGGATCTTGCACTCCCCTGCACCCCGTGTCCCACCCACGGCCCCGGGGCCCCTGCACCCCCATGCACCCCCGTGCACCCCTATGCACACGCGTGTCCCGCCCACGGCCCCGAGGCCCCCGCACCCCCTCCGCCCCCCCGCGTGTCCCGTCCCGGGCGCGGGCGCTGCAGCGCTGCCGGGGGTCCGGTCCCGCGGGGCCGGGGGCTGCTCCTGGCGGGGGGG